TCTATTGACAGATTAAATTACATATTTTAGACGAGAAAGTGTTCTATTGTTACCGATTTCCGTTATACATGCCCATATTGATTCCCGTTATTAATGCAATTCTTTATATTTTTCGATACTTAATACATATATGAACTTTTTTGTACTAATACTCCTCTACATGATGAGGTAAATTGAATAAAGACATATCTGATGTCTTGAGACTTCATCGCTGTCTTCATTAATAACAGATGCTACTTGCTCTTTGTTAGAATCTAAGGGTTTTAACCGGGGTCCGGACGAGGGAAATGTCAGGGAACGATTAGTTGCAAGTTATCTTTGTATTTTCGTTTATTTGATACAAATAAAAATAAAAAATAGAAAATTAAAATAAAAAATATAAAAAATATAATTTATTCTTGCTCCGGGGCGGTCGGTCTTACCGGTGCTGCCCGGGTTGTGGCGGCCCTTGACTTCTGAAACAAAGGTTCGACCAGATTAAATACGTGCGTACACGTATTGTAAATACACGCTCGTCAGCTGTTCGCCTGGCTCTCCTAGCGACTAACAGTGCGCTTGGAGGGGGAGATCAGCTGTCGTTTAGCGTAGTTCAGTGGACTGTATTTATTTGTTGCTCGCTGATAGATATTATTTGAACTATCAACGAGACTTTGGCCCTGAACAGATGAGAATTCACTAGTATCTGTCGGGGACTCTGTTTCACCACGGACGGGTCACCAAATGGAGGTCGTAGGGCTCCAAGTGGGTGGATCCCGTGAGCACGCTCACCGTGCGGGTTGATGTAAGAACGTCGCGCAAGGCGATTTCCTGCGACGCTTTATAACTACTGCACAACGACCGTTAATTTCGGGGACTGTACAGTAAGCGGATTTATGTCGGAAATCTCGAGCAGATCCAACCGCACTATAAAGCCTACCCGGCGACCATTTACACGGGAACCGTATTTGGTTGGCGGCGTGACGGAAGGGAGGCGCTTTGAACCCGAACTCCGCCGGTGGGTGTACGGTCGACTCGTGCACCAACGGGTTTTTCGGAGAGGGTTCGCAGCGGCCTTTGCACGGAGAGCACTCCACGAGGCGGTACCGAACATCGGTAGGACCTTTGGGAGGCTCCAAAACCGTATAGCTATAAAGGGGTTCTGGGTGCGTGTACCCTGAGTCCCTTACGTCGCGGTCGCGGCAACGACTGCAACGTACAATCACCTCCTTGCGTCCGCGGTCGCGTCACGCGCGACGTGCACTGTGACTGTTAGGAACTTGGCGAGGTTTACGATACGGTCGCTTGTGAATACCGCTATTTTTGAGGATAGCTAATTTCAATTCGCTTGTTAATAGTTACAGCTAAACGAGGAGTCAGGGCCCTAAAGAATCATTACAAAATTGAAGCAATTAGGAAGGGCCCTGCTCCGTCGTCCTCAATAGCGATTGACGTGTCATAAACCTTACAACTAGTCGCGCGGTCGAGTAACGACCTTAGTACCTGGGCACGGTCCCCGGTCGGGTGTTAGGAATTTTCCATTTCCAGGGAGGTCTAGTTTGTACCCCGACTGGTGGGCGGCAACCTAGACTAGGCGGTTTTTGGAAATCCAACCCCCGACCAGGGACGTCGACCGATTGGTCAGGTCCTTTACGCCTCATCGGCAATTTTAGTATATAAGAAGAACATTGGAAGAGTTTAGTTAGATTAGCAACAGAATCATAGTTAGAAACGTTACTGTATTACTTATTGAATTCAATAAACACCAAATACACAACCATTAATTTCCTTCAAACGAAGGTGGTCCTTCGAGTTTGTATTAGTCGGCACACACGTGCAAACTCAACAATTTCCGAACGAGCAACACTCGACCACGGAAAGAACAGTGACCGCTTCTTACGTTAGGTAGACTGTCTTTTGAAAATCTCGAATCGCAGCAACGATGAGATTTCTTTCTTTTCAAAGTCCAAGTTATTTTTTGAGCGCGTACTTGAGGAGCGAGATCGTTTGGGATCCGCTCCCATTGGCAGTCGGCTCGTGAATAATTCTCGTCGAGCATCGACAGACGAAGACTCGGTCGCGCCTCGTCGTCGCGACGTGGCGCTGTCGAATCCGGCTATCGATCTCCTTTCAGTACACAATACGTCTCTCTCTCTCGACGCTGACGTCACTATCCCGTTTAAATGGCGTTTGAAGCGAATCTTCGCGTGTGGTCAGCCTACGAAAACACGTAAACGGCCGCGGTTTTAAACTGTCTGTACGCCGAACGAACTCAGCGACAGCTTAACTCTCCGAAGTGTCATGTACACAAACGGATACGAGAATCGCGGCCGAGAATTATTTTCCCCGAACGAACGCGATTTTAAATAGGATTAACATATTTAAATACTCTTCGTTAAATATTTTACTTGATATTTCTGCAAACCTTATAATTGTCGACAAGTATCGAGCATGTGACAAATAATAAATAATAGTTGCAATATGTGAACAACACAATGGTGTGATTATCATTAACACATTCAGAGCAATAGCGTTTCACCCCGAAATAACCAATTGAGTTTGGCATATAATCTATGTAATATCCATATATTTTACTATTACTATGATGTGATTTTACTCGGAATTTAATGATGATATTATTTTCTTTTGAGGAATATATGTAAATATTGTTGTCTTGGAGTCCTGTAGAAATTGTCTGTATTTGTTCCAATCTGCTATGTAGAAATTAATTTTTTCAACCTATGAGTTTTTGTCGAAGAAAAGGAGTGGGAGTTGGTTTATGGTGATTTGCATTTTTAACGCTTTGTGGTCATTATAGTAATCTATACATTTTATATTATCAGAATTTAAGTTTTGAAATGTTAGTCTATTATCTGAGAGGCATAAATGTAGATAAGAATGGCATCTTGGAAAAGAGGGGGTGTCCGTGCTACGTAAATCTAATTTATAAGTTATTTGGTTTCTTTGATGCCATGAATGGAGGCAAATACCCCTTACGTTGTTTATGTTGTTGGAGATGTGTTTGGCGTTTAGATCACCCGCTAGAACGTAGTAATTGCTTATGCTGTCTAGATTTTGTTTCTCGAAAAGGCTGTCGAGGTCTTGAATCAATTCTTTATTATGGCCCCTTGCTGCATAAGCGGCAATGAAAAAGAATTTTGTGTTGCCCGGTTTTGTTTCTATTATTGTGGATTCTAGGTTGGAATTTTGTTTTGCGCCTACGTTGATAACTTTAAATTTTATATCGTTTCTGACCCGAATGACAGTTTCTCCCGCCTGATTGAAGTTAGATCTGTCGTTTCTGATTAGATTATAATCTTTAAAATAGAGTTTGTGGCTTGCGTTTAGTTTGGTTTCGCATAACAATGTCATGTCCGGGTTTTGTGATTCTATGAAGTCGTTTAGTGTGGTTCTAGTTTCGTTAGATATAATAGAGGCTACGTTTATTCCAATAACCTTTAAGGTTTTGATTTGGATTTTACCGTTTACTGCGCGGTTGAATTTATCTAAAGGTCTATATCGAACATTTCAAGGATTATGTTGATTTTGTTTGTATTTGATTGGATTTGTTCATATATTTTGTTTATGTGTATGTTTATTGTTTTAATAATAGTTTTTTCTAATCTTTCGAACAGGAAATAAGTGTTTAGTGTATCGTCTGTTTGGGGGTTGGTTTGAATAGGGGTCGAGTCGTTTACCTGATTTCGACGAGGGGTGTTTTCACCTGATTTCTGAGCTGAAAGAAATCTTCTGATCTACCAGATTTTGTATGCTTTTGAGACGTTTTTCTTTTAGTTTATCTTGCTGGTCCCGTTTTTCGATTATTTTGTTTTTTATTTCTATAAGTTTTGGGCATCCCCTGTACTCACTGCGCCATCGCACCTCTTGAAAATGCTGCTAATACTTCTGAATATAAAGCGCATAGCACCATTAATTTGGTGGCTTATTTTTGTTTTTAGAACCATAGAATATAGTTATCCATTAAAGGGAATACAAAAATTCAGAGTATAAGTTGCTTTTTCACGCGAAAAACGCCGAAAAAATCGGTTTTTGATTTTTGTTACTACGGCGCACCCTGCCAAAAAATCTGAAAAAATTCAGGGACATAACCAATGACAATACGCATTTACAGTAATTATATAAATTCAGTGTCTCGAAAGCTTCAATACGAAAACGGTATTTTTCTGCGTTTTTAATTTTTCACACCTAAGGTTTGGAATCGAAAAACCGGAAAAAATTCTTAAACACGTATCTCAATAACCAGAATGCACCTGATTTTGTTCATAATTTTCGTACTCGATTAAACAGGACAAATAGGCACAAATTCGCTAATGCGGATTTTCCCTATAACTACCCTTTCGAACAAAATAGAGGGTTAAAACTTGACACAGAATGTTTTTTTCTGATGCTCTATTAACGGATCCATCGTATGTCAAATTTGGTTCAAGGGCATATTTGGCCCTCTTATTCGGCTACACTCTTTGGTTCAAGGGCACATTTGACCCCCTTATTTGGCTATACCCTTTGGTTCAAGGGCACATTTGGCCCCTTTATTCGGCTATATCCTTTCTTCGCTTATTTCGTTAACCGTTTAGTATCGACGTCAATGCTGAATGCATGAGGCTGTAACTTCTTCGATTGTGTAAAATATAATCTGTAGCATTTATTGAAGAATAGTCGGGATAAATATGCCGGTTATTCGGACATTCCGGATAATCGGATCTCCACTGTATTGAATTTGTCAAAAATTTTTTTACACGAAGAATATTGAAAAACCTTTTTGATTTTGAGTTCCCTGAGTGTAAATAGGAAACATTAATGATCGTTGCGTTATATCATTCGAATGAAAATAAAGCTGACACTTTTATAGTAATGTGATATTAATGTTTACGAAATTGCATACGATTTTATAAATTATTAAATAGAACCATTAACGGAGTTTTATACAAATTAATTTGGTTAACATAATTAAAAAATTATTAAACAATTATCATAGATTAATGTCAAAAATATGTTATTTGTAGCATGTGTTACGCTTAATTGGTTCAGACAATCCAGAAGTTCAAATCGCCGCTGCATCTACGATTCGAAATATTAGGAAACTTACACTGACAGCAGAAAAATTACACTTTAAAGAAACGTATGTATCACAGTTATTGTACATGTGATGTTATTTATTTACGTGCATATAGTATCTATTTATCATATGCAATTCTCTTAATTAATTTGCCCTCTTTCCCATATTTACAGAAATACACTGGAGGAAACGGATTTTCTTTTCTAACGTAGTGAGCTTTAGAGTACTGTAACTAGAAATAAATACTAAATGAGTATAAAGCGTATAATAGGAATTCTTTATTCAGACAATATATCGAGAATTTTGCTTGGATTTGAAAATTCTTGTATATTTAAGTTAATTAATATAATTATACATTGTTATAATTACATCGCATAACGTTTAATAAAATAAATCATTAATGAACGCGAGATCTCACCTTACTATTTGATTTCAACATCATTACAAAAACAGTTGTAGATAATTACATATTCAATTTACACGTAACAAGAACTTGATTTTTCTAAATACTAACAATGATGTAAAATTTTCATACTATTTATGTATAAAACATGCATTATATATAAATATGACTGATCAATCAGTTCCTGTATACAGGGTGTCCACGCTAAAGTGTGACAGTCGCAATATTTCAATAACTATTGATGATACGAAAAAAATGTTTATATGTAAATTGCAGGATAAAATAGGATCTCTATTTTGGCGTAAATGAAAATTTTGTTTATGTTATTAATTTAAAAATATGATGGTGAAGTTTTGTTTTTTAAATGGAACAATATATATTTTTTTTTTAATCGCGCGATAGTGCTTTACAAGACAAATTCATTAAGCTGCAATTTATTCACCCGATTTTTATTAGTTTTCAAGATATAACGTTTAGAAATTTACTGATTTTCAGCGGAGACGTCTCGGTTTGAGTGGCAGTCATAAAAGCGGTCCTATTGTTGCGCTGTTTGACTCCGCCTGTTGAAACCGATAGCAAGGGTCTACGGTCGGAACGGCAGGCCCGAAAAGTAAGAAACATGGAAAGCCAAACATGGAACCATCCAAATTATTAACGGCTCCATCCTCGATGCGGAAAATTTGGACCGTGATGGACAATACAATTTTTTCGTATGATCAATAGTTATTGAATTATCGCGACTGTCACACTTTAGCGTGGGCACCCTGTATATGAAAAATACACAGTGATCAAAAAGGAAGCAAACACGTTAATAAATCTGCCATTCAGCTTGATATGAAAATATAGTCTGAACTAATTTGTAGAAGGTCTCTGACAGTCTTCAGTAATTTAAATTATTGTGATAAAAACTTTAATAAGCGACATTAGATAATAAGTGACATTATTCATATACTATGAATATTAATTAGTCTTTATATTTATGTGTAAGAATTCACTGAATTATATTTAGAGTACAGCTGACTGCGTAAGCCTTACTAAGTCCTGTCGCCAGCAAACTTGGACTGAGGCGCTAATTTTCATCACTTTTATTTTATTTAGTTTTAAAGAAATAAATGTATTTTAAAAAAATAACACTGACATTGTTCTTATTACAATTATCAATGCATGATGTGATTGGCGTCACAAGAAACATCCGTAAAGTGTATCTTCCCCATTTTTATAACTTTGCAAGTTTGTTAAACAGCCAAAAATATATGTATCAACTGTTTCTGCTCATCCATTCCTAATAAAAAATGTACATGTACCAGCATATACATACATATAAATATATAATTAGGAATAAGTGAAGAGAAATAGCTAAACTTTTTAAAGGCATTTTACAAAACATCTGCATTATTAAGATCGAGTATTGTATTAATTAATCCTTCTTGGTTAACAGGACGTTTGATGCAGCTTTAATTACTGAAATGAAAAAACTTTGAATAAAAACTTACTTATATTATAATGAAATATAGTTATACTATTTAATAAATATACCATTATTTTGTGCATTTGATATAAATGCATCCACTTTATCGTGGTATCGTAGAAAGTTTGGTCTGATAGCACAATGGTATAAAACCATGGCACCATTATTTTCTACAGGGGCCATTAGCCATATATAAAAGAGGCACTATAACAAACAATAAAATTTTAACTACACACAGAATGATTTAAATTTGTGATAAATATATATATATATATATATATAAATAAATCTGAAACAATAGATATTTTTCTAACTCTGTAAATTCCCAGAATTTTCAACATCTGCCATAACTTGAAAAGTTACATATCGATAAAAATGTTTATATGTGCAGTCATTTTTCCAATTCAGAGAATAGGCTACTTTACATTAGACTTTGTTTGCGATTAAATTTAAATGTCTAAAAATCTGTTTATATAAACTAAAACATTATCAAAATAACAACAGATTTATATTTAATTTTTAGTTTGTTTCCAGATAGAGCACTATTTTGCTTACAACAGAGTAAATGGCTACAACGATTTATTTGTTTCTTCTCTCGGATGAGAGATGTATAATGTCATTCACAAGTATTACAGTAAACTTAAAATAAATTTCAAAATCAAAAGGCAATTAACATTTTATATTCTATACGAAAAATAAAAATAAATAAATCGAATGAAAATTAAAAAAATGGTTTCAATATTTGCTTCCTGTAAATATCACTATACATATATAATCACTAAAGTGAAGTATATTAAATTTTTATGAATTTTTAGTAACAGCCTTTACAACAAAGCCACAGGCGAAAGCTGTTATTAAATGTAACTGTACCTTGCAAAGCCAGTAAACTGGAAACCAGCATAAAATAAAATCTGAGAAATATTCAACAATGGTAAATACAGCAAAAACAACCCAATACGTTAACCACTTTGTGTCATCTTCTTTTTTTGGACTTTCTAAAGCTTTCATTGAAGAATAAGCAGGATATATAAATCCAAAGATATTACATAGTAGTTGTTGTCCAATGCCAAATACCAGATAAAGTGCCAAAACAACAACAGAGCCTGAAAGATACAATAATACCATAATATTATTGGACATTAATATGCATAAATGGAATACAAATTTAATATAAAAATATAGTAAACCTGGATATATTTAGTATGTAGATATAAAGTTACTCGCAATCAAAATTCTATATAACACATTGTAATAAACGATGGTTTAATAGTTACAGAAAAAAAATGTTGATAAATAACAAATTACTGCTCTTTAGAAAAGAAATATTATTTTTTACTATAAAAAAGAAACAATAGCTTAAACTAAGATCAAATCAACCTTACACTTAAAATTGTACTGCAAATCAATTCTGCATTCATTTGAAAAAACGCTGCACACCTTTTTCATTTTTCGTTTGTTTTTTTATTATTATGTACATCTATTAAATATTATAACAGAATTTGTCGAAAAGTATTAAATCAATAGCGCTAACGGTATTAAGAAATAAAATTTAATTTCTCAAAGATCTCTTTAAGTTATGTTTTGACGAGCATGAATTTAAATAAGTACATAATAAATACTTTGTTGCAAGTAGAACCCGTTAAAATACCATTATGCCATTTTCCACGTGAAATGGCAGCAGCATGATCACGCTGTTTGGCACTTAGGCCGGCGGCACACGAGCGTTGAAGCGACGTGCGTTGCGGCAGACGTTACAACGACCATTGTAGAAATACATTGTCGTATATTAGAGACCACACATTGCGAACGTGCGTCGCTTTCAACGTCCGTAGCAACGTGCGTTTCTTTATTGTATACCGAGAAATGCAGCAGGTCACAGGAGCGTTGAACATCGAGCGTACCGCCAGTCGCTTATTAGGTGGCTATCGTGATAGACAGTTCTACATTCAGCCTTATTTCTTCATATTTCATACCTTACGCAAAAATGACCGGTAATACGGTTGATACAGAATTGTTAATCAATGAAGTCCAAAAAGGACAGTTATTGCCGACCATCTTTAACGAGGACTACAAAGACACAAATAAAAAATTTGCAGCGCGGAATGAAATATGTGTGTTTTCATTACAAAATGTTCTGCCGTCTCTTGGCCAACTGATGCAAAAATAGCAACGCTTGTGTGACTGGGGTTGTAACGATCGTTGTCCGTCGCAACGCACGTCGTTTTAACGCTCGCGTGCCCCCGGCTTAAACCGCCTTCTCATCGAATATACTACGCTGCATAGACCATCCGGATGATTAGGGGGTATCGTACCATCTCCCACGAAGCGGCGACCACCTTGGCCTGTTTCCCGCCCCTGAAGTCCCTTGTTTGGAGAAATCAGCTAGTTTACCGGCGCTTCAGGGAGCTCCAGGAGGTTAGGAGACCATCAAAGAAGAAGACTTCCTCGCTAGTCACCATCGTAATTAAGATGGTGGCTAGCGAGGAAGCATGGAGTACGGTCACCTCCTTCTTCGAGGATTTATTAGCGCAGGAGTCCGCCGAGCGGTGACGTGAGAGGAACGCGCATCCCGCTTGTAGGAGGGCCAGGGCGCGACGGACTTCGCCTCCTGGCTCCTTCCAACAGTTCTGAGATCCCATGTGTTTCCCACCTTCCTTATTCCTTCACTTTCACTCTTCCCGATTTTGATGGACCACCAAAATTTGGGGCGGCTCGTCAGCTGTCCTCTCCGGTCACCACTCCGATGGCCGTAGGAGTGACGGCCCAACCTTGGGGGCTGCAGGTGCTCGGTGCAAGGGGTTCGAGCACCGAAAACAGCCTCGGGGTCGCAGGCGTCGAGTAACTTGGCGTTCAAGGCGAAGAAATCAGAGGAGAAGGGACGCTCGTCCTTCCACGGGATGAGCCCCGTCAAGCATGTCGCGGCGGGGGACTCTGGGATGTCTTACTAGAGTTCGTGCTCCTTCGCCGCAGCGCCGGAGCGTCTACGTTGACCGCAGGGTTTTAGCCGGTAAGAATTCGGTACTATCCCGAGGCTCTCCCCTACACAAGGATCTTGGAGTGTCCATGAGGATTTTCCCGAGTAAAAAAAAAAAGAAAGAAAGACAGAAAGAAAGGTAAAGGGAGACAGAGAGAAAGAATTCAAAAGAGAGACTCGAACCTACAGTAAAAAAAGGGTATTGCCGAATAAGGGGGTCAAATGTGCCCCCAAACCAAACCAAATTAAAGGTCCGATGGATCATTCGATAGCTTATCGAAAGAAAGCCCCATATGCCAATTTGTAACTTGAAATTTCGAAGGTGGGAGTAGTAATGGGGTGACAAAGAAAATAATGTTTTTGCACAATTTCTCTTGCCCTATTGAGTAAAAAAATGTAAAAAAAATTCAGGGACTAAAACTTTTCAGGTAAAAAAAAATAAAAAAAACCGCAAAAAATGCCGAAAAATGACGATTACGCATTTTGTGTTCCTATTTTCTTTGTTGCGTCCTTTTTGTCAATTACGATTGTTGTTTAATATCTCTTGCATCGAAATTAATGTGAAATATTAGTTTACCAGTCTCTTGCCTTTGACAATTGTAGATGGATTCGGGTAGTAAATTGTATATTGGCTTAATATTATTTCTCCTTCCTTTTAGATCAAATAGTTCTCTCCCTCTCTTTCTCTTTTCTTCAAAAATATGAATGGCTGCTACGACTTCAATGTACAGAGTGTATTTGAAAAATTATTAACAGTTCTATTCGTAAGTAACTCAGAACAATCGTGGTACACGTACACATAGATAGTACGACCATAATTGCATAATGGTTGGTGCTTGAAAGGATTATTTGTGGACACTTGCGGACACTGTGGATTTTTGTGCGCAACATTGTGTATTGGAAGTGGCATTCACCCTTTCTCTGTGAAAATCTCGTCGGGCAAGTTTTGATATGCCCTTCTGGATTTTCAAAAGACAGGTTGAATCTTATTCAACGTAAGGTGTTCGCGTTCATAAGTGGACAAAAAACTAAGACTGTCGATAACGTCGGTGAGTAGAATTTTTCATGCTGCGTGAGAACTAGCACTGGCCTGTCGTAACTTTCCTCGCGAACGCATTTGTTCGCGGATTGCCATTTTACAGGCGGAACTTTAAACGTTAATAATTTTTTAACGAAGCATCAATCAACAAATTAGTATTGTTGACTTTCGTCTTATTTTGGCCTGTAGAATCTCCCATTAAAATTTTTCCCAGGGTTGACCGAACACCCTGTATACATTGATTCAACTAACTTTTTTGTAAAATCCGGCTCGATATTGTTCCATTCTCCTAAAAGAACATTCTTCAAGTCTCCTTTGTTTGTTATATGATATTTTTTAATCCTCTTTTCTAATTCGTCCCAGACATGTTCGATAGGATTCATGTCTAGACTCTGAGCTGGTGTATTTAGAGAATGAGAAATATTATAAATGATCCAATGGCGTACGATGTAAGCGGTGTGCTTTGGATCGCGATCTTGTTGGAAATAGAAATTCCACGTAAGGTTTAATTTTTCCGCACTTTTAAATAACTCTTTTTTTAATATATTTAAATACGTGTATTTGTCCATAATATTATTGATAAAAATTAATTCGTCAACTCCAGACGCTGCCATAGAACTCCACATCACAACTCGACCACCTCCATATTTTACACTCCAGTTCAGTATTTGGCTTTCTTCAAACTAATATTCTACCATCCGATTTAAATATATTAAATTTACTTTCAGCTGAAAACAGAATGTTCCTCCAAAATGTAGAATCCTTTGTTATAAATTTTTTGGCAAATTTTTGCCAATTGACACTCATTATTTAATATCATTCTGAGTTCTGAAGAGTTTAATTTAGGATTTTTCTTCACTTCGTTTAGAATTTTAGGTTTCTTTGTAACAGATAACTTGGGAGGACGACCACTTCGATTCGCATTATCAAAATCTGATTGATTTATAAATCGTTTTACAATGCTTCTAATAGTGAAACGACTTCTGTTAACAATTTGTGATACTTCACTATAAGATTTTTGCATTTTATATAAATTTAGTATTATTTTTCTCTCTTCGCTTGTGGTTTCTTTCGCTTTTCTTGACATTATTACTTTTTCTTACTTTCCCTGTTTGGTCATTCCATGCAAAGTCGGACACCTTTTGGAGTACCATGTCGGATTTTGCTCCAATTTGAATATGTTGTAGTCTTTAGTGATATATAAACGTATCTCGAAGGATTTTAAAAAATTTTTTAAATTGTTGGATTTACATCTGTTTGAAATATAGAGTTCACTTTTAAATATTAACAATGTACATCTTAAATTCATCTCAAAAGAAGAATATAAGGAACATTCGGAATTCTTGCTGAAAAGACGTGGACTGGCTACAACAATCTGTAGAACACGTAATTTTCATTCATTTAGTCCAACCAAAGAAGTAACTCATTTAACTGCCCGAATTTATTCAGACAGTGAAATATCAAAAGTTGCAGCTGTTATGAAGTAAGTAATTTTATAACAAACAATTTATTCCGGTAGACGATCATTCATAGAATCCAACCATTATTCCTTAACCAGAACCTAATCCCATCACATCCCATCATATCCTATCTCACCTCCCGATGGAAGAATACTCACCACCTTGTCGTGGTTTCCATTAAACATTCACAACTTAAATGTGTACAACGCTACGTGACATTGACAAAAAGTGAGTGTCCATTAACTGTTACACCTTCCAGCAGTCAAACACCCTATGTATAACAATAGCAGGTATAGCCGCTTGGCTGTTGCAGGAACCGCGCGACTTGGTCGGTCGAGCCAGCGTGCCACGACGCGACGCGACGCAGTGTTACATTCAATTAATTTTCATAAGGCCAATTTTAAAGTGTCCGTATTTCTAAAACTTGGTCCGCAACGGGGACAAACAGGATTATATGCTCATTTTTTCTCAGATTTTTAAATATTTCCCCATTATAAAAAAATGACATTTGTTGTAAACAATTGTAAAATAAATGGTCAAAAAATTTTTTTTTAATTGAAGTAACTTTTATTCGGTACTCCCATGGATCTACAGCAAGTACCTAAAGGCACATTTTTATCACTTTCTTACTTTAGCAGCTATTATTTATTGAAAAAAAGTGAATTCTATATTTCAAACAGATGTAAACCCAACAATTTTAAAAATTTTTAAAAAATCCTTCGAGATACGTTTATATATCACTAAAGACTACAACATATACAAATTAAAGCAATATCCGATATGGTATAGTCAGGGCCACGATATAGCGAGGTCGTAAACTTGAGCAGGTGTCAAAATTTACACGTTTCAGCTCTCCGAATAATTGAATTGACAAAAATACGAGCAGCTAAGGACCTTAAACCATAGTCAGGGCCGTACGAAGAAATGTTTTATCTAGTGTCGGTATTTTTAGAAAGCCATTGTTAGAGGTATCGTATCAGGTAAAGGTCTTACTCAAGTCTTTAATATCTTAATTTACCTGCTTATAATATATGCATGTAGAAAATAAGAAAAGGTAGTGTAGTTACGGACACAAAAAGACATTCAGAAAGGCACCCTCAAGCCAGATGTCATGTACGGCCGTAAGTGCCGCAACAGTAGTCGGTCCCAACCCTCAAGAGTTTAGTTTACGACCTCGCTATATCGTGGCCCGGGCTATACTCCAAAAGGTATCCGACTTCGTATGAAATGACCCTGTTGCTAGACGACTAAACTTTTGGATGATCGTTGTTAAAAATGACAATCGGGGAGTCCCCTACCTACATTTTAAAATGACGATAGGAAATTTTTCAAACAAATGCGGATATTGTATTACATGTAACATCATATGCCAATACTTTTGTCCACCCATAAAATGTTCAAGAAATATATTTTTGTTGTTGTTTTGTGAATCAATGTATATATATTATTGCTTCTGTTATGTAATAAACTAAAATACATAATAAATGAATATGTGAAAAAGTTTTTCCTTCAAATCAATTTGTTTAGTATTTGTAAGCACTTGTACCACCACAATCATGCTGTGCCAATACTTATGTTCAGCACTGTACGTGACGAAGTTTTCGTCAATGACCTTTCTTCCAAACTGAACAGACGTGCCCTTCCAAGTGTTTCAAATAAGGACAAAGTTTAGTTTAAAAAGTATTTGAACTGCATGTTTTATTTTTATTTCACCACCTACTTTCACTAACTTAATATCGTCATTATCCGTGAGCTGATTACGCTCAAAATCTAATCAGACCTTGAAACAAGAACATAAAACTTAAATGTAAAGTTTCATTGACATTCATTCAGCCGTTTAGATACAATCATGTTAACAGCATACATACATAAGTACAACAAAAATTTCTTTTTTTTTTTTAATAGTTACAATATGATCAGGGGGTCTTAAAACGTGTATTTCTCTAAAAAAAATTTTTTTTTCATTATGGTACTTTCCTTATACCTACATATGCATAGCTCACATTGAAAATCGTACAGGTCGTATTGTAAGAAGTACTGACTGGTTATAATTATGGGATAAGGAATTTGGTCGAGAATAAATTAATAATCAATAGTAGTATAGCTCAATGCTTGGTCATTTCTCATACGAAGAATAAAAAATGTTTTGCTCTTCATTTGTTTCTTTATTCTTTGGCTTCAGTCGAATATCATTGTACAAGTTGAAGGTGATCCTCGGACTAAATAATAATTGAAATATGAGGCAAACGACGGTGGTAGAACGTGAACTTGTAATTTATCATTTTATTAATAATAATCCAAATAGAGACATTGCTAAAATGTTAAATAGAAGTGCCTCTGCTTTACAATATATAATAAAACGCTATAAAGACGAAAATCGTTTCAGAAATAAAATAAAAATTAATCCGTAGAAGAAATTAACCGAAGCTGACGAATGTTGGATACTTAGAAAGGTAAAAAAGGATCCGAAATTAAGTGCTCCGGCTATTGCGATTGACACCGAATAATACCTAGGAAAATCCGAGAGTGTAGAAAATGTTAGACGAATTTTAAGAAAAAATAAATATAAAGGTCGTATAGCCCGATCAAAGCTGCTTGTAACTGCCAAGAATAGAAGACAAAGATTAGAGTTCGGTAAACGTTATGTAAATAAAGTCTACAGTTTTTGGAAAAACGTCATCTTTACGGATGAAAGCAAAATTAACATTTTTGGAAATAATGGTGAAATAAAAATTTGGCGGAAACTGAATCAAGAGTGGAAAGTACAAAATTTGAATTCAACCATTAAACACGGAAAGGGTAGCGTTATGGCTGGAGCTATGTTTCATCGGTAGGAGTTGGAAATTTGGAATTCATTGACGAAACTATGGATAAGTGGTGTTATTTAAATATTTTGAAAACACATTTGAAAGATAATGCACATAAATTAGGATTCTTTGACTCATTCATGTTTTAGGGCGATAATGACCCGAAACATGCATCAAGGATTGCTCAAGAATGGCTGTTGTACTGCCCTAAAGTTATTCACACACCAACTTAATCAACTGATTTAAATATCATTGAGCATGTTTGGCGTAAATTAAACTTACAAGTAAATAAGCGTGAAAAATCAAGTAAAGATCAATTAAAAACAGTAATACAGGCAGCGTGGGAAAATATTGAACCCAGTTTCTAGAAAAGTTGGTTCGACCTACATATGCCACAACGATTGCAGGCAGTTATTATTATTATTCATTTATTAACAAGAATAAACCCTTTAGTACAAAAGATGTAATATGTAAAGAACTACAAATATGGATTTTACATAGTCAAACATTATCGCTTATAAAATTTTAACAAAATAAATTAATTTACAATACGTTGCAAGTGTTCCGTCCGGTCGGCTCGGGTTTTTTCCGCGTGCTTATGGTGCCAGATGCGGAAATTTGACTTTGTCGAAAAAGTCTTCGAATATTCCGCATCTGGCAAAAATAACCATAAATCGTCAAGGCGCTCAACGTTTCGAAAGCGCAAGGCCCGAGTCGGCCGACGAAGGGCTGTATTGTTCCGCGGGTGGCACGGTCCTCTACAACGACCATCGCTAACTCGTGGAACAATACAGCCATAAACCGGCTGCCACGCACGTGCAGCAACGCGCAATCCGGAGTTCCGTTTTTTCCTCGGCAAAATTAACGTGGCCTTCGACTTGGGGAGAAAACCTTGGCCACTCTCTTTCAGGGTGACCTGGGCCTTGCCTCCACCACCATCGGGTGAAGGAGCAGTTTCCTGCCCAACGGGGCAGGAAAATCGATCGTCCTCCCCCAAGTCGAAGGCCAATCGATAAACGGGAAAAGTCAACGCGAATCGGTTGACCAACCCCCGAAATCGCGAGTCGGAGGGGGTTCAAGCCGAGGAGGAAACGGGCTCCGGACACTTCGGACATTCGTTCCATGACCATCGATACTTTCGTTCCACGACTATCGAACCGACTCGTTCTTCAATTCTCAAACCGATAATAACCAAAGGACTTCGACTTCAACGTTTATTTAGCAGCAACGTTCACGCTGTCTTAGAAACGTGTAAAATCATCGTGTCCGAGTAAATTCACTGCAGCAACGCGACGCGACGGCGATCAAGTGCAGCTTCAGAATTTATTTTGGCGTCCGACAATTTGAACTAGTCGTTCAACATTAATTTCGCGAACGACGGTGCAGGTATCCGCGTACCACGAGGGTCACGAGGGCCTTACAACCCCTCAGAGTCAAAAGAGAGCTCACGCGTCTACCTGCCCAGTACCCGCCGCGACGGTACGTTTCAGCAAGGATAATTTTAGACTTTCTAACGATTGTTTAATTATATCAGTTTTAGTGTGCACAAAATATCCATGTCTAA